AACTAATTTGTGGAGTTATTAGCTAGCACAGTCCCAAGACTAAAATTCAGGACCACTGATTACCAGTTCAGTATTTTTTTTTCTTTACCCCATACGCTAATAGTAATATTGTTACAGGACCGAGAACCAGTTCCCAACTCAGGTTTGGCTGCTCAGTGCTTGAAAATCAATACCCAAGAGACAAGTGATGGTGGGAAAAGAAAAGTTGCTTTATTAAGGAAGGTGGTAATCTGGGAAGAGGGTGGATTAATGTCTCAAAGACCATCTTCTTCATCCAGGGGAAGCTGGAGGGTTTTAAAAGGAGAGGCACAGGAAAATGGAGGGGGCTATGTACAGGCGAAGCAGGTGCCCGGGCAGTTAGTCCTTTGTTGACATGACCCTTACAGACTTGCTGGCATCAGCAGCAACTGTTTCTGAGTGTAGGCAGACCTTATCTTCTGGGAAAGTTGGGTCTTTCCCTCCTCAAGGCCAGTGGTCTGCAAATCTCAAGAAAAGTAAGTTAGCTCTACTATAGATCAACAAGCAAGGAGTGCATAAGCTTGAAGCAAGTTAACCCTTAAGACCGTTGGGGGTGCTGTTACAGATCCTTAATCCTGTGACTGGTGTCCTTAGAAGAGAAAGGGGAGAGAGATTTCAGACGCAGGGAAAAGGCCACGTGATGACCCAGGCAGAGACTGGAGTTATGCTGCTATAAACCAAGGAGCACCGGGAGCCACCAAAAGCTGGAAGAGCCAAAGAAGGATTCTCTCCCAGAAACTTTGTAGTGGGTGTAGCCCGGCTGACACCTTCATTTCACACTTCTAGCCTCTAATGAGAGGATACATTTCTGTTTGTTTTTTTAAGATTTTATTTATTTATTTATTTTAAGTAAACTCTACACCCAGTGTGGGGCTCAAACTCACGACTCCAAGATCAAGTCACATGCTCTACCGGCTAAGGTGCCCCTGAATTTCTGTTGTTTTAAGCCATCATGGTTTTGATAACGTGTTACGTCAACTGTAGGAAACTAATTACCCTTCTACCAAAAAAGGAAACACTGCTAAACTCTATTTGGAATTTGTGTCTTCTCAAATAATGACCGTTCTACACTTCTCCCTCCCCATTATTGCTGTCTTTCCTTTTATTTCTATATGTGGTGCTTATTACTTTTAAGTTTTTTGAAACTATGTTATATAATATTTAAGATATACAGAGAAACATAAAGAATAATACAACTATCCATTTATCCAACATCAGCTATAGTTATGAAACAATGTCAAAATATTTAAATCACCGGTATATCCCTTCCCTCTTCTCCTCTACCATCTCTTAGGGGAAATCACATCCCTGAATGTGGACTTGTTTATTCAGAGGCATCTCCTGATCCCATTACTAGAAGTGTGTTTAGCCCCAAGCAATACATTATATTGTGGCACAATTTAAAACTTTGCAAAAATGGTGTTGTGCCATATGGATTCTTCAGCAACTTTTAATTATTTCATTTCTGCTTGTGAGACTTATCCATGTTGGAATATGTTCCTCTGATTCATTCATTTTCACTTATGTATAGCATTCCGCTGCATGAAAATAACACTATTTTCTTGCTTTTGGACACTTAGGCTTTATTTATTTATTTATTTTTCTATTCAAACCATGTCTCTTATACTTAGAGTAAAGGCACAATAATCTTCTAGGATATATGCTTATTCATGGATCCTAGGATGTACTATCTGCAACTTCACTAGATACTGTCATATTATTTTAAAGTGTTTAGGGGCACCTGGGTGGCTCAGTCATTAGGCTTCTGCCTTCGGCTCAGGTCATGATCCCAGGGTCCTGGGATTGAGCCCCGCATCGGGCTCCCTGCTCGGCGGGAAGCCTGCTTCTCCCTCTCCCACTGCCCGCCTGCTTGTGTTCCCTCTCTCGCTGTGTCTCTCTCTCTGTCAAATAAATAAATAAAATCTTTAAATAAAAAAAAGTGTTTATAATAATTTAAGTTTACACCCACAAATGTGTATGAATTTCAGTTGTTCTATATTCACATCAACAAAGACTTTTAATTTTTTAATTTTGGTCAATCTGAAAGACATGAAAGGAGCCTCATTTTTTTTAAGATTTATTTATTTATTTTGGAGTGGGGAGGGGCACCAGGAGAGGGAAAGGGAGAATCCTCAAGCAGGCTCCCTGCTGAGCACGGAGTCCGACTCGTGAATTCATAAAGATATTCTCTGATATTTTGTTCTTTATGTTTTTAAGTTTTGCTTTTTCACATTTATATTTTTAATACACTTGGACTTCTATGTTTCTATATGGTATGAAATAGAAAATTCTTTTCGTTTTTCATATAAACTATGGTGTCCTAACACCATTCATTGAAAAATTGATCTTTCCCCACTGATCTGCAGTACTAGTTCTGGTAGATATCAAGTTTTTGTATGTGTGTATATATTAGTTGTGTATTGCTGCACAACAAGTTATCCCAAAACTTAGCAGCTAAAAACAACAAAAATTTGTTATCTGATAGTTTCTGTAGGTTAGGAATATGGGAATGATCTAGACGGATAGTTCTGGCTCAAGGTTTCCTACAAGGTCAAAACTAAGGGGTCATCCAGGGCAGCAATTATCTCAAAGCTGTACTGGGACAGGACCCACTTCTAAGCTTACACATGTGGCTGTTGGTCAGCTTCCGGTCCTCACTGGCTGTTGACAAGAGACCTCAAACAGTTCCTTGCCACATGAGCCTCTCCATAGTGTTGCTCACAGTGAGGCAGCTTGCTTACCCTCTGAGTGAGAGACTGAAGAACAACAAAGTGAGAAAGAGCTCCCAAGATAAGAATCACTATATAATCCAATCTCAGAAGTGATATCCCATCGCTTCTGCCATATTCTATTATTTAGAAGTGAGTCACTAAATCCATACTCAGGGGGAGGGGAGAATACAAGAATGTGAATATCTGAAGGTGGGGATTATTGGTGCCATCTAGAGCTGCCTACCACAGTTTCCATTTATTACCTTATACCTACCAGTGTCGTTACAACACTGTCTTACTATAGCTTTATAGTAAATCTTATTATCTAGAAGGGTAAGTTCCCCTACTTATTTATTCTTCAAATGTGTCTTGCCTAGTTGGGGATCTAAAAATAGAATCTAGGGATGCATGGGTGGCTCAGTTAAGTCTCTGCCTTCGGCTCAGGTCATGATCCCAGGGTCCTGGAATCAAGCCCCACATCAGGCTCCCTGATCAGTGGGGAGTCTGCTTCTCCCTCTGCCCCTCCCTCCTGCTTGTGTGTTCTCTCTCTCTCTCTGATAAATAAATAAAAATCTTTAAAAAAATCTTTAAATAAATAAATAATAATAATAAATAAACATAAATAATAAATAAATAAACATAGATTCTAGAACCAGCTTATTCAGTTCAATGAAAAACCCATCAACACTTTTATTAAAATTACATTACATTAATAGATTCATTTACAAATCAATATTTTATGATATTGAGTCTTCCCATACACTCATATGGTTTATCTCTCATATATTGTGGGAAGTTCACCAGAGGCTTAGAGTAAAAGAACTGTTTAGGATGCCTTTTCAGTAAAATATCTCGGACAAATTTCTTCTGTCTGGGCTTCCAATGGAAAAATTTAATGGTAATGCACAGTGTACGTAGGGTTTGTGTTGCCTCAGTTCCTGGGTTAGCAGTTTTAAGGTCTATTTCCATGTTGAAGTTCTGTGGGTCCACTACACTGCGTACTCTCTTCTTATAAGAACAGCATCCGTCTTCTTTTGGGGAGCTGCTGCTTCTCCCACTTCAACCAGCTGTTTCTAACCCTGGCTGCCAATCACAGTGCCCTGAGCACAAGAATAAGCACAGGTCCTAGTCTAGGCCAATCACAGCACCTCCTTGGATTTTATCAAACTGGGATTCAGGGAAGTGGTCCCTCTCTCTCAGGTAAGAGGCTGAGAGGCTGAGATCTCCAAGTTTCTAGACTGGTGAAATAAATATGTCTGACAAAATGAAGTCGAGATGAAGAAAGAAACTGAGATGAGAGATGGAGACATCTTGGTGGTGGCCAGGTGCCTGGTGCTAGATGTTTGGTACCAGATGCTTGGTGCCAGATGCATCACTGTCCTGCTTCAGTTTGAGTAGGTGAGCCAGATAAATTCCCATTTTGCCCAGCTTCTTGCAACTAAAATTCGTGACATGCATCTGTCTTTTTGCTAATTTACATAGACCCTGCCATTCACTTAAAAACTCTTTGTCAAATCTCATTCCTCATTAATTTATTAACATAAAGCCCTTTTCTAAATCATGTTTACACCAATTATGATCATTTCGTCTTCTAACAATAGGAAATATGTATGGAGCATGTACTATGTGTCAGTCATCAAAGAACAGTGATAACTAAGTGTTCCAAGGAACACAATTAAAATATGTGCCTTAGCAAAATTAATGTAAAACATAAGTAGTGAAACCGTGACTTAAATCTCACCTGAACTTGACCAAAATCCTGCAAGGAAGCTCAGAGAGGGGTCAGTAATTACTCCATGCTTCTATAGCGAATAAATAGTAGAAGCAAAACTGGAACCTGGATTTTTTACTAAGTCAGAGTTGTTTTGAATATCCTGTACCGATTAAACTGAGAAAATACTTTTGGATCCTTACACTTTAAAAAGGATAGCTCCCAATCCTCTTTCTATCAGGTTCCAGTTTACTACCAAGTTGCAGCAGAGAGGTATGGGTGCTTCCCGAACTTTAATAGTTAAATAGAAACAAAATTAGGTCAACAAGCAATACAGACAAATCACGCTTTCCATTCAGCAAGATTTTTTTGTGTCTCCACCCCCCCAAGTACAAGGTACCTTGGGAGTTGTAGTCTTGGGGCACAGAGTCCTGCGGCCGGAGTCGCTGACTCATTGGGACCCAATCAGCAGAGAATCAACTTGCTCTCCGCGCAGCGATTGGCTCGAGATCAGCGGCCGCCCTCCCCGCGGCGCCCTCGCGGCGTCGCGAGTTAAAGGCAGCACCCGGGCGGGGAGGAGTGTGGGTGGTTGCGGTGTTCTCCGTACTGTAGCCTGTGAAACAACAGTGCGGCCATGGCAGAACCACAGCCCGCATCCAGCGGCCTCACCGACGAGGCTGCCCTCGGTTGCTGCTCCGACCCGGATCCCAGCACTAAGGTGGGCGCAGAAACCTACTTCTCCTGAGTAGCGGCCCCGCAGGGCGCAACTGGGGCCCCTGTGGGGAGCACATCCCCGGGCTCAGCCAGGCCCGGCTTGGGCTGGGTTCGAACCCCATCCGGCCGCCGCTGCAGCTCCAGCCGCTTGGGGCTGACCAGAGTGGGCCGGGTGAAGGGCTAGTGGTGTCCAGTAGGGGATCGTGAGAGGATCCATTTCCTCGGAGACGGGGACCCTGCTTGCATTAACTTGTTTATTTTGGGACGGTAAGTGGAAGCCACGGCCAACCCCGAATCAGATCCCTTGTCTGTGGTGTGCGTGTTGCCGGGGTCAATAGTTATGGCGGGTGAGAGCAGCTTCAGAACTCCCAGTTCAGGGTCGAAGTCTCTCTCCATGCCGGCCCCTCCTAGCCTACTCTGGCTGCCGGCTTAACTCCTCCAAACTAATCGGATCTCTCCGAGTTTAACTGCACCCCAAAGTTCGCTTTTGCTTGGTTTCTATGGTTGCTCACGGCTACACTTCTGCCCTCCATGTGCTTGGTGGCCCGCAGGAGAGATGACAGTAATCGGGAAGTTTAGATCCAAAGGGAATCTTGGAACGACCTTCTCATCGCAGCTGAGACCCAGTAAGAGGAATGTCCTGTTGCATCCCTCCAGCTCACTTAACATGTCTGCACTGAGTCAGTGTAACTCATTCAGGTGTGGTGCCTCCACGCTGGCAAGATTTGACACAGCAGCCGCTTGGGGGGTTTATTCCAGTGTACTGTCAGTGTCAGTAAACGTCTTTGTAATTTTTTCATTAGATTGGGCAATTTCTAAATTCCTTGAAGATTGAATATGTGTGGATGAGTTTGCCCCCTGCTTCAGGGTGAAGAGTCAGACATCTCTGATTGCTAAAGCCTTTGACTAGCACCGAGTACTTAGCTTAGGAAAAACAGTAGTCACTGCGAAGTTAAGGGGGAAGAAAGAAAGAAAGAACGAAATATATTTCCTCCTACACTCATTTCACTTGTATACCTTCTAATAGTATTATTATTATGTAGTATAAATACCTAGTTATTTCACATAATGTAAACTGAGTCATTCAGTATAAATTAATTTCCTAGATAACTGGGGCTTTATGTACTGGGCTATTTAAAAAAGATTTCAGAGATATCTTTATAAAATTTGTTAAATACATATTCTAGCATTTTTAATTTACACTACACATCATTGAAATTTCTCTTGGTTATGTGGAGTAATTACTTCATGAAATCAATAAGTTTTGGCCCTGCAGTACCATGTGGGGGACATAAAATGGATATGCAGTAGCAGCTGGTATACCGCCAGTGTGCCAGGCCCTGGGTTGTTGTTTGAAGTACATTACTTAATTTAATCCTCACGACAACCCTATGAAGAAGGCATAATTACCATCTCTATTTTACAAATAAGGAGACTCCAGCATAGAAGTATTGAGTAACTTGTCCAGAGAGGTTCCCACGCTCTCAACCTCCACCCTTATTCTGCTTCTGGAGTGCTGACTTCAGCAATTTTGGAACTTGACATGAAGGAGAGTAAAAAGACTTAAGTGAATTAAATTCAGCCTTATGGCTGATCACCTGCTATATATACAGAGCATGGTACATTTGGGGGATACTGGGATGAACTAGATGAGGTCTCTTCACCAAAAGGACCAACCCTAACATTGGACAGAGCTGGGATTAATGTGCTGTTGAAATTATAGAGCACTCTGGGAGCATAAGAGGTAGAAATTTTGGAAGGTAGCATCTGTGGTATGGTATATACATGGGGTATTTGATGTCTGAAGACCTACACTTGAATCCCCAGATCTGTTGTTGGCTGTAGTGATCTTAAGGGCACTGGGGCTGTGTTTGTAAAAGCAATATAAAGAGAGCTGCAAGGAGGATAAAATGTATTATTTTTCTCTAAACTATGAAAAGTGATACAGTTCAACTCTGGGGATCAGGGAGTACATCAACCAGAAGGTGGGGGTGGGCCTAGGTCTTGAAAGATGGATGGGGTTCCAAAATCATCTAGGAGACAGAGTTACGTGGCGGGGGGGCATTCTAGGTGGAGGAAAGATCTGAGCAAAAATATTGTGAGATGGCAGAAAGATGCAGTGCAGGCATGTTCTGGAGACGTGAGTTACATGTTTTTGGTTGAAGTTCAGGTTATCTAAGCAGTGGAGCTGTGGTGGAAAAGGCTAGAATGCAAGGTTGGAGCCTCACTCTCACGGAGAGAGCTTTGAATGTCACATCTAAGGAAGCTGGATTTAAATAAGTAATAGGGAATCATTCAGCGTTTCAAAGCATTTTGTAGAGTAGATTGGAGGGATCCAGGTCTGGAGGTGATGAGGACACCTGAAAGGTTCTTCCAGAAGATGAAATAAGTGGTGGGGGCCTGGTTTGGAAAGGAGAGGGTAGTGGTGGTAGAAAGTCAACTTGCCTGTTGATCATCTGCATCTTTGTCATGAAGGGCAGGCCAAGGAATGTACAGCCACATGACATCCTGGGTAGTATTTTTGGCCATCTGTCTTCATGAGGCCAAATACTTATTTTCCCAAGTGATAATGTCCTGAAATTAATTTTTTTTTACAGTCTCTGTCAGGGTCCTTTAATAATTTGGAATCCTGTCCCATCTGAGTGGTAGGTGATAGGGTCAGGGAAAACTTTGAGTGTTGGTGACACTTAAGCTGAGTTTTACCAAATACAAAGGAAGTAGCTAGGTAGAATTGGGTGTAGGGGTAGGTGGAAGAGAGAATGGAAAGGAGGAAGGAAGGAGAATGGCCAGATGGATGAATGACTGTTCTAGGCAGAGAGAATCCTAGTAAGTATAAAAAGCATATGACATCGGAGAACTGATGCAGGAATTAACAGATAATATGAGACTGAAGTTGTAGGCAGTGGGAGTTGAGGGGAAGGTATGCAAGACTCATCAGGATGCTCAAAGAGAATATGAGCACCCCTCATCCCATTATGTTTGTTTTTCTCACTCTGTAAAATTTCTATTCGGTAAATATATTTTATAATATATATATTATTAGTATATTTGTACATGTATATAATTAAAATAAATACATATTTATAGGGGGTGCATGCTCTCTTTTTTAACTGATAAAGGTATACCAAAAACATTCAGAATGACCAGTTTAGGGGAGTGCTAACAAATGATGAAGTTGGAGAAGTATGCAATAACCCTATGTGCTTGCTTTTGGGACTTTCTTTTAAAAGCTGTGAGGCATCACTGAAGGAATGATTTTTATTTTATTTATTTATTTGAGAGAGTGTGTGCAAGGTGGGGGGAGGGCAGAGGGACAGGGAGAGGGAGAGAATCCCAAGCAGACTCCCTGAATGTGAAGTCTCACAACCCTGAGATCATGACCTGAGCCAAAACCAAGAGTCGGATCGGATGCTTAACCTATTGAGGTACCAATCACCCCTGAAGGAATGTTTTTTTTTTTTTTTTAATCCAGAAATTTTCACTATAGAAAGATCACTCTGGTACTTTATGGGAAGGTCAGTGGCTTGCATCTGGGTAAGCGTGCAAGAAGCAGAAACCAGGGAGGCAAGGACAGGCATCCAGGGAGGGAGTAGTGAGGACATGAGCAAGATAGTGCTCATTAGAAAGACAAGGAGCAAGATTCCAGAGGGATTTAAGCAGTCAGGTTGATAGGACACTTGGACTGGATTCCAGAGAAGTGGGGAGGGAGAAATCTAGGACGACTCCGGGTGTCTGACTTGGCCTGACAAGGGACTCTAGAGACACTATGCGAAGCACTTTCATGCATTATCCCATATACTTTCCAACGCAGCTCTACAGAGCTGAGAACTATAATTATTCCCATTCTAAAGATGTGAAAACTAAGGTTCAAGAAAAGTAATGATTTACTCAAGGTAATGATAGAGCCAGCATTTGAACGATATTGCCTCTGAAGAATTATTTCTCTCATACTTGTGTGTTTTCTCTCCCTCTGCATGAGATTTTAAAGGCCTCGTGATCCTGAGGGCTTCTAGGATTTTCCTGTTTCTATTATCTGTTTTAAGAGTAGTCTGTCAGGTGTGTTTCCTAATATCACAGGTAATTTTTAATTTAAAAAAATTTCCTTTGTGTCTCCTATTTCTGCCGCCTTTATCCATAGGGTGAATATACTTGAAGTACGTCTTTGGCTGTTGAGTTATAGAGGGGGAAGGAAAGAACCACATGAAACCAATTTAGATAAGATAGAATAAATGTAAAGGGAGTGGCTGAATTATTTTCAGGAACAATTTATCACATTCTGACATAGGTTGAGTCAGGCAAATAACACTGGAAGGAGGAAGATAGTGAAGAAAAAAATATATCAAACCATCTTCTACATCAACCGTGCGCTTCAGCTGTTACATAGAAAACAATTTTGTTCTCCTCAGATATGCTTGTATTTCCAAAAGGGTCTTTCACTGAAGGTGATTGTGACTTTAAAAAGTCTGGAAAAAACAAAACTTGATCCGTTTTTGTCTTATAGGAGATATGATACCTAGGGGTGAAGAGTTAAGCCCTGAACCCTTTGATGAGAATGTGACATTTGGTTAACTCTAGCTGTTTCCCAAGAAACAAAAATAGTGTTTGTTGCTTAGCAATATTGCTTATATTAAAAATAACTTGATTGGTAAATTGCATCTGGAGAGGGAGAATTATCAATACCTAATAGGAAGTCATGGCTTTGGGCTCTCCTGAATGTAGTGGCTCTTACAACTGCCCTTTGTGGAGATCCTGGAAGCTGTGCCCGTGGAATTGCTACTAGAGTTATTGGTTCCTTGGTACATAGGGCTTCTACACCAGGGTCAGTCCTGCTCCTACCCAGTGCAGATCTTCTCCCTGTACCTAAGCTGTACAGACTTCTTTAAGTACTCCTGCTGAAGAGGGAAACCTAGCCCTGCTCAGGTGGCAAACTTTTTCTGATTGAAACCCTTTCAGCCTGTGGTTGTCCTGTGAGTCTGAATGATGAGTTGAAGACTCTCTGCTGGG